AATCAAGACAGATTAGAAGAAATTCATAAATTAATGTAACAAGCTAATATGTCCCGTTGAAGTAGAAACTCTTATAGTAAAGGTACAAAGAACAATCCAATATATGAGAAAATTTCCTCCATTTTCAGCTAGAAAACACTAATGTACAAAAAATGAAGTCAAATTTTAGAAGAATTAATCGAGCAATAAAGATAGTCTCTCTCATAGTTCATATCCTTGATTTTGGCAGGAAGGATAATTTCCAAATTTTTGCCACGAGGATCAGACGGTCAAATATTTGCGAATTATCCCTTGATGTTGGGGGTACGCTGATTGTTCCACTCAATTACTACAAGGCTTGATGAAATTTCAAAATTGTACTTTTAATTTAACACACTATTGCAGTGTGAACTACAACAGAAAGTAATTCATTCCCAAGAACAAAACAGAAAGCCCTCAAAATTTTCAAACTTTTTTTTTTACTTATTTCTCTTTTGGCATTACCACTGTCTTTTCAGAGAACACCTCTCGATTTTGCTTGCTTATGGAATCATGAAGAAGTATGGAAAATTATGAAGGATGCTAGTCGAAAATAGTGAGGGTTTCCTGTTTTTCACCATCTTCTAGCTTTGAATTAAGTTTAGGCTTTGGGCTTAGGTGTCAGCTTAGGCCTAGGCCTAGGGATTAGGTTTAGGGCTTAGGTTTAGGTTCAGGCTTAGGGCTTGGGCTTAAGCTTAGACTTAGGGCTTAGACTCAGGCTTAGGCGTAGGTTAAGCGTAATCTTTCCTAACTCCCGAACATGCAGCGAATCCATATTCATTTTATCTCATTTGCTTTTCGGTTGGCCACCAGCCTGCATTACAAAAGTGACTGAAATATCACTGTCGTAGTACTCTAGCGTTGCTAATTTTTTTCTTTCAGGTTGACCAAGTTTCATTTGACGTTCACTTTCAAGGTTTTTGCAGTGTGTTTCAGAAATCCAAAATTCTTCCTAGCGGTCTTGCTCATCTTTTATTTTAAAACATTTCTACTCATGCTCTTTTCATTTCTGTATTTTTGTATGATAAGCCGTGTCGAAACCTCTAATAATTGGTTTCAACACCGTTTCAAATATTTTTTGACTAAAAGCCTAATTGTGATAGTTTATCTGGAAGTTAAAATACTGTAAAGGCTTCTTAAAAAATTTAGTTCATACGATTTTTGTGCAGGGATTATTAAAGATCAAAAATCTACAGACAATTCTTATGTATTTTTCACATAAAAACTAAGATTTCTTCAAACGTGAAATAACGTGAACTGATTTTGCTCCGGTACATGCTACTTTCAGGTGGTTTTCTATTCGGTTCATCTTTGCTTGTCAAAGCAGATCAGTGTCTCTGTATATCCGCTAGTGCGGATAGCCTAAGAGATACACCTGATGAAGAATTTTTAAGCTGGTTTTTTAAATGACGCGAACACTAGGTACTTTCGGAACTGCGAGAAGTCAGAACAAACTGCCTTTCAATACTTTAATATTGAACGCTTTAGAAGTGGGTCTTAGAGTCGTTACGTTTTAAAAATGTGCAGTAAAACTTGGAATTCTAGAAAGAGTAGAGCGTGGGCATACAAATCTTTCTTTGGTCTTTTTGTACGCTGTACGTATTTTAGTTTAAAAAACTAAATAATGAAAAGCAGTTTAAGCAAAAAATTCTGTTTATAAAACCTCAAAAATCTACTGTTTGACTAAATACCTTTAGAATCAGTTACCATCCGTCTAACTGTTTAGCCGTTTGGTTTACCTAAATTGTTTTAGATAAACAAAACAAAGTGACAGTAACCTAGTGTACAAGAAAGATGTGATAGAGTGATACAAGCCACTCTAAGGAGGATTACAAGACGTATTAAGCATCTAGTGGAGTAGCCAACTTGAGGCACAGAATGCAACTATAATAAAATGAAAATATAACTTAAACTGTAGGACTGGTGGAGTCAATAAAACATTTAGCACAGGTGGCAAACGAAGAGTTTTACTCTACCAAACTGTTGCAGGCCAATGTTGTAAAGACATTTAGAAAACTCCTTTTTTAATAACTAAGATGGGTTTCTCAAACAGTTCTACATCGTATAGCAGTTAGTCGTAAAAGCGAACAGCCTGGCCTCTATCACCATCTGCGTATAAAAAACCTTTCCTGATAGTATGCTTATTGTCAAACAGGAGACGCTTACTAAGCGCCGTTGACTGCCGTACAGGGCGCACAATTGATACGGCTCCTCTTAATTAAGAAAGAAGAAGATGGAGCTAACAAGTCTTCTGTTAAAAAAGTAGCCCGTTTTCTCCAAAAGGAAAGACATGTTTCCTTTAAGTTAATTTTTTGACAAGCAAACCAGAAATTTCAGTGGTCTTTACCTCACTGTCTAATGATTTTAAAAACAAAAACAAGACAGTGTTCTAACAAAGATTAAGCCTTTAGGCCTAAAAAATTAATTGACGATAACCATCGTAAAAGCAAATACCACAAATTCCAAAAAAGTCACCATTACATCGAGTCCTCATTATTTTATTATGGTAAAAACATAAAACTAAACAGTTCCTGTTTGAACGACACTTAATTTGCTGATTTTCGCAGTCCAAAACTAACCACAGCAATGACTGTCGATATCATTACTTAATATCCACTTTTGGCCACAGCATTCAAAATTTAACAAAATTAGTAAATATCTGTGTTTAAAGGAGCAAATTAGTAGATCGTCACTATCCTTTATAGTTTTCCAGCTAGTGAATTCTCTGAAGTATCCCGATAAGGTCCCAAATCCTTAGAAGTTTTGTGTTTTTAAGCATACGCTTAATAGAATTTATTTTTGCAGAGCGATCATCAGTCAATCCTTCTGATTTTAGCAGCATTCTTTCTGCATGTGACAAGGTAATTTAATTTTCTCTAACCACGATTCCTTTATGCTCTTGAAAGCCAGAAGAACGCAATTCTTAGAAAAGCAGAACTTAATGTATGGTTGCGTAAAAGCATTCAAAGTCAAACTTTTGAAGGTGAGGCTTGAACACTCATTTGCATATCAGAAGGCTCTAACAACAGTTTATTCTTCCATGAGCTGTTAACTACACCCTTAAAAGCAAATTAGTCTGCAGTTTGCTACTTAATAGCTCGCTAATCAAATTAAGTTAATTGATAAGGTGGTTAAACAGAACCAATTACGATCTTTTGCATTTAAAAACAAACTTTTGAACCACAGTTCAAGGTACATATCCATTCTAAAAAAAGGGTACAATGAAGTACGACAGTAATCACTCCTTAAACAATTAGCTGTTTTTTAGTCCATTTTAAAGACAGGTGCCACACGAGCTGCTCGTTTCATCACTAAATTTTACTCATAAGGTGCTTAAATGCCCTGTTAAGCCAATCTAGCTCCAACTACAGAATTACCTGAATTACATAACCAAAAACGCAGTGGAAGCACCCAGAAAACAGCCTTGCTGTTGAGGTCTTTTTCACATTATTAGACTAACAAAGTGATAAATGAAACAGAAAGCATAAGAAGATTAAGACTTTGGAACTAAATTAAGTAAAACTGATACTCTTTCTTTTTGTCTCAAATCTATGTCGGAAATTCATAATGCCAATGATCCCTTTCTCCACCATTTCTCTTTATGAATTTGAAGTGCTATCAAACGCATCGTTTCAATCTCATTACCTTTTGCTAAATGAATGTTTAAAGAATAGTTCTTAATAAAAACCGTATAACAAAAAAATGAGGGATGATCACTTTTCCTCCGCAGTAGTGTCCCCCTGGTGTTTAATAACCACAAATGACGTATGCAATAAGGCTGTTGAAAAGCTGTTTACTGCTATTGATTTGTCTTTCAGCACCGCAGTTCTGGTGATGCCTTCGCACGTATCAGCTGTTGATCAGGTTCCCTTCTTTACCTCACTAATGGCCTTTTCAACTAAATAGCGACGAAAAATATTTAAAAAAAAAATAACTTTCCAATGAGTCTAACAAATTGTTCACTCAGAAACACTTTTAAGTAACATTGGTAAGGCTTATTCGGAAAAAGAAAAAGTTTAACTAGAAAAGCTGGAATAAATGAGAATACTGGTGTCCCGAATTATAACGTGCGATATGGTGGAAACGCAGATGACACAGTTAGAACTAGAATGAACGACAAAGAGAACGGCAGAAAAAGAGTGAGAAAATGACAGTTTAGCAAAAGGCCACTACAAAGTACCAAAAAGTGTAAAAATTAAAATGAGTTTAAAGGAAGCCATCCAGAGTGACACAGCTGATAACGTCGTACCTTCAAACGATAAATCATTACGGTGAATTAACTTACAAAAAAAGATTGCATAATAAACGGTTTATAAAAGAGAAACCATCTTTGGCACTAAAGATCAACTGTTCATTATATTTTACACGGTAATTCACTAAGTCAGCCGTTAATTCCTTCATCAGAGCAAGTTGTTCGATAACTTTGATCTTTTGCACTATGCAAATTCCTTTTCATTTTAAGCACAACACTAAGAAGAATCACATTTTCTAGGAGTTCCATCTATAAAATTCTGTAATTCGTCGCAATTCAGAACTTGCTAAAAAAAAGTAACTGTGGTACCTAATAAGCCCTAACTACATACAAGTAGTTGTAAATACTTCTCATGACAAGGTAGCACAATCATGGATGTGTTATGTTGAAAATAAAAGCACAAAAAAAGAAAAATAACTTAAGAAAATTTTATATAATTCAAATAATTCCAATAACACTTACACAGTTGCTATTTTATTTGTACAAAGAAAAAGCACAACAACGTCCATAACTTTTTTTCTCTTCCCTACTCCTATAAATCGAAACTGGGTAGAAAATATTCTATGCCACAAACTCCAAAACACGAGCAGAAGCGTCATTGGTAAAAATTTTCTGCTTAATCGCTCAAGTCTTTCAATCATCAAAAAGGATATAGCATTAACGAGTAACCTTACTTCAACGAAGAACAGTTAAATATACATTGAAATGTTTCCACTATATCATAATTTTCCTAATCAAGGGGTTCAAAAGTGTAATTTACAATTGGGTACTGCCGAGGATCCCCAAAAGGCCAAGCTCGATAATAATCAAGAGGATACTGTTTTGGCATCTGCAAGAAAAAGTTATAAACATGGATGAAGCAAACAGATACAACTTTTTGTGCAAGAAAAATTCTATATTTTTTTGAAAAGCAAACCGCAGGATTTCGCCAACGGAGAGCACTTGGGTCCGTTCTCGTAGAAATATAACAGAAAATGGCTATCGGGATAAAAATTCGCAAGTACATCTTTAACGTTTCTTTCCTAGAAGCCAAAAAAATGTCAAAAGTTTCCGAAAAACAAAAGAATATATCTTACCATTCAAAATCTTCTTGATCAAGACCAGTAAAAGTAATTCTGTCCCCTCGAAACTGCATAGCATCTATCGCCACCTAACAATGTTAAATTCATTAAACTAACAAGTCAGAAATGAAAAAACTGCGTAAATCTAAATACTGCAAGAAGATGTCACAAAATTAATAGAAAATTTTAATTAGCACCAGTTCACCCCAGTTCCTTCTATGATGTCTGTCTGTCCATGACTCGTATGGATCCTTGTGTTCAAAAGTAACTATTCCAAGATATGGATAGTCACCAGCATGACGATTAACATCATCGTAATGAATCGGCCTAAAAGATGGGGCTGTACTCAAAACTCCTAAAAGTATTAGCACGACCCTCTTAATGTTAGACGACTTATAAATGAGATATCAGGTGCAAAAAGGAGATGCTTATTCCTTTGCTACACGATTCGTCAAAAAGTGGAATCAAACTATCACATGTAATCTTCAGGGCGCATTCCATATTTCAAAGCTGCGCTTCTTCTTTCCTCCTCAGTCTCTGGATATTGGCCAGGTTTATGATCACGAGGATACCACCCCTCAAAAGACAGAGGACCTCGAGCTAAAACTCAATAAACAAACAGACTGGAGAACGATTGTAAAATAAGCTTCAAAAATATAGGAAATACCATGTCTGAAAGCCGAGAGATGAACAGCACGACTTGGAATTCGAATTAATGCTGACATCCGTTAAACTTTAAAGACACACTAAAATTACGAAGTCGATGAAACAATGAGATTCTGTTGGAGAAAGCGCTACTGTTTGCGAAATGATAAAACGAAGCATCATTTGAGGCTCAGAACTTAGAAAACAGTAAACTCAGCAACATAATTCTAGTCAGTGAAATCAATTTATTTAAACTGACAACAGTAATTATTCTTCAGACCGAGAATCAAGAAAGCAATCGCTTCATATATGTTTACTTTATAACTATCTTTCGAAATGAATTATGGCAAAATCATTAAAATAGGAGTAAACTGCTTGTCTCATCGATGAGCAGTGCACAAAAAGTGGAATAATATTTTTAAAGAACCCGTCTCCTGAATTTCATAACTTTCAGCAATACTCGCACCTTTTATTCTTCGCAAACCAAGAGGTGACACTCTATCCCCAAAAACTTTGGCGCTATGGTCATGCACATTTTGCTAACATTAATAAATACTGGTAAAAATGGCTTACATTGCCGGGCATTATCAAAATACCACAATAAAGACTGGTCAAGGCCAGACGTTTGAAAAACAATTCCCAAATTTTTTCTAATTTTCCTGCTTTTAAAAGAATTGGAAACTGTTGCAAAATCCAGCGCTCTTCACTCAAAAAAGCAGTCATCACTAAAAGGCATGGTCTTTTTTTGTTTATTTTTATTTTTAGGTTTTAGCAAAAGAAAGTAGAAATCGGTGATTGGCCTGTAAAACAAAGTATCTAACAATTCAACCAAGGGAGCCCAAAAAGGTCAAACAAAAAGTAACTGTACAAAATATTTTATAAGAATAAAAGATTGATTAGGACTCGTGGCGATCAAAAATACAGGAGACTGATAATATTTCGTGCTTGTGGAATGAATTATGACTTATTTAAACCACTACATTTTCATAGTTCCGTAAGCACCGTCTATTTAACCATTACTATGACTAATGTAAAAATAAGTTTTCGTACATCTTTCTAAAGTCATGATTAAGATCATATTTCTCATTACACTCGCCTCTTTCTCATTTCATTAATTCGTCACTGTCAAAAAACTATCAGTCTTCCAAGACAGACTCTCCCAGTCTGATATTCACTCTAAACTTGGGCAGAAAAAGTAAAGCAATATGAATCTGTAGCACACCCACATGGAATTATTAAGAGCTGTAACTGCATTATAAATTGCTCAAACTTTTCTCAAAAACAATTAGCTGCAAAATAGAAATATCGTCGGTCACCGACTTAAAATAACCAGAAGAGTAAAAGCGTAGCGAAGTATCTTAAGAAACGAATTAATTTAACAAGATATAACAGCGGACTATTCAAACAGTAACGTATTGAGCTGCAAAAACAATTCTGATTTTGCTGGAAAACAACTAAAAATCTTAGATTTCAACTTAAAGACTGAAAACTGCAGGTGCCAAAAATTCCGCACAGCACTGGCAGCGGTCGTATCCTGCCTAACTTGCTAATCTGAACATTCAGAGTTGTCTAGAACTTGAGCAAACTCAGAAGTGCTCAATTTCTCTTCAGGTCAGTAATGTCTGTAAATTTCGAAAACAAAACAGTCAATCAACATCAAACTAAAGAGAACCATATGCACTTAAATATTAAGAGGTGGAAGAAAAAAAAATGAAACTGAAATCCAAGACAAGACTTTCTTTTTTTCACTGTCTAAAATCCAGCTAGTAGCGAAACGACATTTTTCATACTTGGCAACGTATCATATTAAAAATTTTTTTCCTTCCCGCTTCAAGAACCAAAAATTTGGCACAAATTGTATTTACAATACATCGGTTGCTAAGCGCACTAAATGACAAAGTATGGCTAACAGGGATTATGACGCAGGCATGAAACCAAGTTATGTTTTGTCAACGTAGAAGAACAGTGAATACAATTACCAACCAGTACCGAGGAATGTCGTTTATTTATTAATTCATCAACAGCGAAAAAAAAAAGTCAGAT